AAAATCCGCAAACGGGTTAAAAGTGTCCTAAATAATTAAAAAAAGTGAGAATTTTGTAATTTAAATACAAATATACTTACAAAATCTTACAGAGGCTATTTACATCCCTCTCCCCCAACCTGACAGTGCGTTCAGTTCCCACAGGAGACAGCCGGAGAGGAGCGGGGAGGGCACAGCCGGGTCCCCACCCGGCTCGTCCTCCGCTCCCCGCTGCCCGCGGAAGCCACTCGCGGTCCCCAAAGTTTGCCCAGGCTGTGTAAGGAGCCGCTTCCCAAGGCGGAGCCCCGCTCCTCCGGCCACCCGCCGTCCCCCTGGCCCAGCAGGCGGGGGTCTCAGACGGTGGTCTCGCCCTGCTTGCTGTTGGTGAGCCTGGTGTAAAACTTCCTCCAGGAGTTCAGGGTTTTCCCAGACCAGATCCAGAAGCCCGAGGTGATGCCCACGATTAAGGTCATAAGATACTTGATCATGAAGACGGTGAAGTCGGGGCTCATGGGTGGGTGGTGGCTGCTGTGGTTGTTGGGGCAGGGGATGGCGTAGCTCTTACAGCTCTGCGTGACCCAGCTCCTCTCCCACTGTTCCCTAAAAGCTTGCTCGTAAAAATAGCAGGCAATGACGATGGTGGCCGGCACTGTGTAGAGGACGCTGAAGATGCCTATCCTCACCATGAGCTTCTCCAGCTTTTCTGTCTTGGTGCCATCGTGCTTCATGATGGTCCGGATCCTGAAGAGGGACACGAAGCCGGCCAGCAGGAAGGAGGTGCCGATGAACAGGTAGACGAACAAGGGGGCCAGCACAAAGCCCCGCAGGGCGTCCACATTGTTGATGCCCACAAAGCAGACTCCGCTGAGGACATCCCCGTCCACCTGCCCCAGGGCAAGGATGGTGATGGTCTTGATGGCTGGCACGGCCCAGGCGGCCAGGTGGAAGTACTGGGAGTTGGCCTCGATGGCCTCATGGCCCCACTTCATGCCGGCGGCCAGGAACCAGGTGAGGGAGAGGATGACCCACCAGATGGAGCTGGCCATGCCAAAGAAGTAGAGCATCATGAAGAGGATGGTGCAGCCCTCCCGCTTTGTGCCCTGTGCCACGGTACGGGAGCCGTCCTCGGCGAAG